CAACAGGGTCTACTCGTGGTTGGTGGGAGGAGACCCCATCACAGGCTGCCTGACCAGCCCCAAAACCTCTCCAGGGTTGCTCTTTTGAGGAACCGTGGAGCACCAGAGAGCAGCAGCAAAGAGTTCTCCAACCTCCCCTTGGAAACCCCATACTATGATTTCTGACGAATCTTGCCCTTCCAGTGTGGAGGGGGCCCAGATAAGGACATTGGCAATGGCAGGATAGAGGCCTGGAGGGCCCTTTCTTGAGAGCCTCAGGACTCCTCAAGACTCCGTCAGGAGTCTTTCTTTGAGGTGTTATCTGTGAAGTAACACTCCTAGCCTTCCATTCCACTGCGCCATTGTCTTAAAACAGTTAAGACCATCTACAATTTAAAAAAAAAAAAAGAGTTCTGCTTCACTGGAATACTTTTAGTTGGGTTTTATCTTGCTTGTGTCTTTACCAGTTTTCCTGGGCTAGAGAACTATGCTTGGCCACGTGACAAGTATTGATTAAAGAAATCTCAGTTGCATGAATGAAATTAAGTTATGTAGAAGGGATCTGTTGTATTTATTGCACTTACACCTCCAAAAAAATACTGGCTGTGATGGTTTCTGATACAAGTGGCCTTTTGGATAGAGCCATGAAAGCATTAAGCTAAAGAAGAGTAAAGGAAAGCCCAAAGGAGACTATGTTTGTGTGCCTGGTGGTCAATACATTTATCTATCAATCTGCCTCTTTAGGGATCAGCAATCCCACTTCCTTCTTTTGTAGGTGCCATTGGGGTTCACAGAAGTGCCTTGTCTTGTTGAAGGATGGAGCTTTGAAGTCAGAACTGGGCCCTGTTAGGTCACCCCACTCAGTCAGATTGCTAATAGCATCCTGGTCACCTTAAGAACAAATTATTCCCACCAAACAAAACAAGCTTGACAAAGCGGGGCCACACAGGTTATCATCTCATTGCTTGCATGCACAGAATATGTTCAGTTGGTGAATTAGCCAAATAAATGTATTTAATTAGGTGGTAGAGGAAAGTACAAGGAGTTAAGCGGTCTAAATGTGTCAGAATGTTTCCAGTGCAGAAAAGTAAAAATTAGGCCTACCGTGGTGGTACATGCCTGTAAGCCCAGCAATTTAGAGGTTGAAACAGGTCAAATGTCCAAGGCTAGTCTGGGCAATTTAGTGAGAAATACCTCAACATGAAGCTTAAAAGAGGGAAAAAAAGCCGAGGGCCAGTGGTTCACAACTGTAATCCTAGCTACTCAGGAGGCTGAGATCTGAGGATCACCACTCAAAGCCAGCCCAGGTAGGAAAAGCCATGAAAATCATAAACCACCAGAAAGCTGGAAGTGACGCTGTGGGTCAAGTGGTAGAGTGCTAGCCTTGAGCTGAAGAGTTGAGGGACAGTGCCCAGGCCCAGAGTTCAAGCCCTATGACCACACACACATACATACATACATACATACATACATACATACATACATACATACATACATACATATACACACACACACACACACACACACACAAACAAAAGGAGGAGAAGGGGGAGAAGAGGAGGAGGAAGAGGAAGAGCAGGAGCAGGAGCAGGAGCAGGAGGAAGGATTGGAGATGTGCTCAGAGATAGAGTGTTTCTGTGCCCAGAGCTGCAGTCCATCCATCCATCCATCCAGATGGTAAGATTTTCTGTGACAAAAAAAATCCAATCATGGAACTTGAAATATGTGTAGAATCCTTATGTGTGTGAGCAACCAGATGACCCCTCCAGTTCTAAGATGCAGAAAATCCAGACGGAATGTGAGCAATTATTAAAATTTTAATTATTAAGGCTATTAATAATAGAGCACCCAGAATGTGCTCAATTATTTATTTGAATTATAAAGAAAAAAATCTGTGCCCTCTCCTTTCATTTTAAGAGTGATTTTTTTTTTTTTTGCAGAAAATGGAGAAGAAGCAAAAATAATTTCCATCTGATTCTTTTTCGTTTCTTTGTTTGAGGTAGAGTTCTCTCCGTGTAGATGAGGCTGGTATCACACTGATGCCTTCACATTGTCATGGGCTGGAATCACAGGCATACACTGATGTTACAGGCATATCACCATCTGATAACTATGTATCTAGTTTGGTATATGGATTTGTTTTCTCTCATTGGCGGGTGATCTACCAACTGAGCCATGCCTCTAACCTTCAGTGATTCTTTCCTTTGTGCAGCCGAATAAATGTCTTTAAAAGATTTAAGATCATTGGGGCTGGGAAGGTGGCTCAGTGGTAGAGCGCTTGCCTTGAATGCACAAGGCCCTGAGTTCGATTCCTCAGTACTACAAAAGCAAAAAGAAAAAAGCCGGAAATGGTTCTGTGGCTCAAGTGGTAGAGCGCTAGCCTTGAGCAGAAGAGCTGAGGGACAGTGCCCAGGCTCAGAGTTCAGGTCCCACAACTGGACCTCCCCTCCCCCCCAAAAAAGATTTAAGATCATAAGCTGGGGGCTGGTGGCTCACACCTGTAATCCCAGCTACTCAGGGGGCTGAGATCTGAGGATCATGGTTCAAAGCCAGCCCGGGGAGGAAAGATTGTGAGACTCTTTTCTCCAATAAACTATCAGGAAACTGGAAGTGGTGCTATGGCTAGCTGAGCTGAAGAGCTCAGGGACAACACACAGGCCCAGAGTTCAAAACTCAAAAAAGACTTAAGATCACATGGAATGTATTATCTCCAGCTAGTTTTTCAATGAGATAATTTTTAAATTCCTCATATAGAGAATTCAAAATCTGTTTCTCTCTCTCTCTCTCTCTCTCTCTCTCTGTGTGTGTGTGTGTGTGTGTGTGTGTGTGTGTGTGTGTGAATCCCAGGGCTTGAACTCAGGGTATAGGTACTGCCACTAAGCTTTTTCTGCTCAAGGCTAGCACTCTATCACTTAAGCCATAGCTCTGCTTTTAGCTTTTTTGGTAGGTGGTTAGAGATACCAGTCTCAAGGATTTTTCTGCCCTGGCTGGCTTTGAACTGGAATCCTCAGATCTCAATGTCCTCAGTATTTAGGTTTATAGGCGTGAGCCACTGGTACCCTACTTAAACACCTATGTTACCTAGGTATTCACACACAATGAGACCAAAGGAGAACATTTTTAGGGGAGGATCATATAAAAAAATATTGCAGTGAACTTCAGGAAATGGAAACTAGAAGTTTTTTTCTCTGTTGTTGTTGTTTCTATTTTATTTTCCTGTTGTCTTGTTTATTTGTTTGTCTGTCTTTGGGAGGGTCGGGGGGACACAGAAACAGAGGGATGAAGGGTAAACAACTGCAGCCATGGTACTTACTGGACACTGTTGAAAATGAACTATACAACTTGTGGGGGGGTTGGGTTGGGGAGGGTGGGAAACTGGGAGAAAGTGAGGGAAGGGGTGACATTGTCCAAAAAGAAACGTACTTACTCGCTACCTGACTTATGTAACTGTAACCCCTCTGTACATCACCTCTATAATAACAATAAAAAAATTAACAACCCTATGTTAAAGCCGATGGCATACTGGAATATTTATATATTACAGGAATAGCCCCCAAACCACTGCCTATAAGACCCACCTAGATGGCCCTTGTTAACTTTGACCTTGTTATGAAATCAGAATTATTTAGTGCCTAGCTGGACTTGTCCTTGGTGCTGGGTTCCAGTTCTTCTCCTTGAGTATCATGTTTTTAAGTGTTGTTGCGAAGGTATTCTCCCTTGAGGTGTTTTTTTTTTGGTTGTTGTTGTTTTGTTGTTTTTCTGAATTAACCAATGTTTCTTTTTCTTGCCTGAAACTTAATAACATATTTGATGAACCATTTTTGGATTAGTAGTGGTATCTCGTGCCATGTGTAGAGGAGATGTTTACATGTCATCTGTCACTCTCTTCTTGAAAACCACCCAGCAAGTATGTTTGGAAAATGTGTGGGATCCGACTCCAAGGTTTCTATTTTTGTGGACTCAGAGATGATTGAATTCGTGACTATCACAGACGATGACAGGATGAACTAGCATGGGCTCTAAAGGAAGAGCCATTCTCCAGCCTTTATCTGCCAGGTGATGATTAAATTCAAAATCTTGAGTTAGGATTTTTCTTTCCATATGGATTAAAGATATTTTTAAGATAGTAATGAGTTAGCTGAGTGTTGGAGTACTTACCTTGCATATAGCAGGCAGGCCCTGATACTCAGAACCCCGGGATAAAAAAATTACAATAGAAGACAGAGCCAGAAGCCAAGAGGGTAAAAAGCTCCCCATTTTGGAGTACTAGGTACTTCCTACCTGCTTGGGAAGGACTTAGGATTGATAGAACTTCATGGTTGTCAGTCTTGTGAAGGTCAGTTTCCTAGATTTACTAGATTTTTATAAGCTAACCCTCCCCTTTAAGTGCCTATAAATGATTTATACCTAGGGTAAAACTCCAACCTTCATATGGACATGGTTTCATCATTTTTTTTTAAAGCTGCCCGTAATCAAGTTAGGGCAGGTTGGTGGATGGGATAAATTTAAGCAGTAATTACAAAGTATTTAAATAATATTAATGATGATATTTAGCATTTATAGAGCACTTTATATCTTCAAAGTACTTAAGACATTACCCAGTAAATACCTCTGATTATAATCTGTATATAAATGCAGTTAAATCCAGAACAGGTTGAGAGAAAAGTAGGTATTTGGCTAAGCATACCAATAATCCTAGCTACTCAGGAGGCTGAGACCTTAGGATAGTAGTTCTAAACCAGTTCTGTTGGGAAAAATTGGGGTTGTGTCTCAAGTGGTAGAGCTCTAGCATTGAGCAATAAAAGTTTAGAGACAGTACCCAGGCTTTGAATTCAAACCCACTTGTGCATGTACACACACAAAGGAAGGCATGATGTTAGGGAACTAACTAGAGAGCGTAACAGTAAAATACACTACCTACCTAAAAGGCACCAAGCACTTAGTTATGAAAATTCTACTGATGCAAGCATACAGACATAGCTATACTAAGATCTTACTTTCAAACAAGTATAGAAAGGAAAACCACTCAGACTGTGTCCTCTCCCTCTCACCTCCCAAACAGGAAGGAAGAACGATCATCAATGGCAAGAGGCAGGTGCCCTAAGGCAACACCATGTGCCAGCTTCACGCTCAGGAGAGGACACTGTACCTCCTCCTCGTGGCTTTTGGTGCTCTACACAGTCAGTGAGATTTCTCTAGTAACAAACTATAGAAATGATCCCTGAAAGTATAGTCTTAACCAGTGTTTCCTAGTGCTTCCTTAGTGGATGAAACTCACACATATTACGCTGATGGTGAGTTTCTTTCATTATTTTTCTTTTTAAATACAATTTATCCCAAATTTATATTGGCATTTATTTTCTAAAGAACCTCATTACCAGATTTATGAAGCATTTTGAATTCTTGCAGGATTTTGAAGACATTGCAAGATTCCACCTTAATTACCATAGGGTTGCAAAACAGCCAATCACTGGGCAGTTCTCTGTAGCCCCACCCTCCGTCCTCAAAGTCTTGTGATTTCCTAATCTGGTAAAGTTTTAACTCCTTAAAGCAGTGGATCTCAAAGAAAGATCTCTGGACCTGCAGCTGAGGAGCATATTATATCCTGTCTGGGACTGGAGGTGTGGCTTCCATGGTAATCTCCTGAGCCAGGAGCAGAACAAGCACTAGGTCCCAAGTTCAAGTTTGAGGTCTTGCCTGTTAGATCTGCTGAATCAGAAACTTTGAGGTCTAGCCAGCAGCCTTTCCATTAAGAAGTCCCTCCTAGTAACTGAGATGCACTTGGGACGGGATTGCAATTGTGTATTGAGCAACTGTTATATGATTAATAGCATTGTTACATGAGGAAGATATAGTAATTTAAAAAAGTATAATCTGCTCTTGAATGGCAGAGGTACAGTGTTAAGGAACAGTCACTCAGGAATTTCAAGTTGCTTTTGGCATAGCGATGTGTCTACAGAAGTTTGAGAGTGCATGAAAGTGTTGGAGTAAGAATTTGGGACTCACCTAAGGTCACTAATTCACTTTCCTAAAATCAGAGAGATTATGGAAGGCACCCAGTGTGTGAGGAACAGGGAGCTTACTAGTTCATACTAATGAGACTTGAATTGCTTGGAAGCAGAAGAGTAATATTTGGACTAAAAACTCTACACCTTTCAAGCGATAATCCAAGACTGCACTTTGTTTTTATCAGCAAGTTTATTCAGTGCAGAAAACTCTCCTCCCTTAGGTCATAAAGATGCTGCCAGCTGAAAGTAATCCTCTCCCAGGGGCCCACAGGGATTTAATTTAAAGCCCCAGGAGGTGTTGACTTTTGCCTGAAAGGTAAAGAAAGGGAAGCCGGGAAGGGAAAGAATGAGGGAGGAGAAGAGAAGGAGGAAGAAAAGTCCATATTCACAAAGTTTTTCATCCCTATTTATACTCTTGAGATAATTTTTTGTGACCTGGAATCAAAAGGGAAATAGGCAGCAGGTTAAAGGATTTCCTTACCGAAAAACCCTGTGAAATTTCTCTGTAAGAACCCATAAACATCCCTTACTCAGTCACAAATATGTCCTACGTTGTTTATTCAATCCTCAATTCTTAGATAAGCAAACTATTTATATTACATGTCTATTTATTTGGGGGAAGATTGATGTCTGGTTATGGTTGTCATAGCAACCATATTTACAAATGGATAATGTGCAAGCATTCACATTTTATTTCAGTACTGTTGGGGAGAGATTTTTTTTCTTTTTTTTCTTTTTTTGTCAGTCGTGGGGCTTTAACTCTGGGCACTCACTGATCCTCAGCTCTTCAGCTCAAGGCTAGTGTTCTACCACTGAAGCCACAACACCACTTCTGGTTTTCAGAGTGGTTTATTGGAGATAATAATCTCACGGACTTTCCTGCCTGGGCTGGCTTTGAACCATGATCCTTAAATCTCAGCCTCCGGAGTAGCCAGAATTACAGATGGGAGCCAATGATGCTCAGAGGAAGATACTTTTTGATAAAGTGAATCCAAAACTCCTTGGGGGAAGGCCTATTTTAAAGGAAAAAGAGATGGCTGGATAATTATCATTAAGCTAGATATAAAAATTATTTGGAGCTGGACCCAGATGGCTCATACCTATAATTCTAGCTACTCTGGAGGCTGAAAGCTGAGGATTGCAGTTCAAAGCCAGCTGGGGCATGAAAGTCTCTGTGAGACTCTTATCTCCAATTAATCACTCAATTTACAAAAAACCAGAAGTGGCATTGTAGCTCAAGTGGTACAGTGCTAGCCTTGAGACAGAGAGGCTCAGGAAAGTGTCCAGGCTCTGAGTTCAAGCCCCACAACCAACAACACGAAAAATGCATATATGTGTGTGTGTGTGTGTGGTTTCACACAATATTGGTAACTTCAGTATACCACACTGCTATCTTTAATTACACAGATCCAACTTTCTCAGGAGAAGTCTCAATGTCATTAGCATAGCATCAAGCAATTGCTGGAGAATGTTAGTCAAGAATGTCACCTATTCTTGAGCTAGGCACTGATGACTCATGCCTGTAATCCTAGCTACTCAGGAGGCTGGCGTCTGAGGATCCCAGTTTGAAGCCAACAGTAGGCAGAAAAGTCTGGGAGATCCCTATCTCCTGTTAACCAGCTCAAGTGGTAGGATCCAGGCCTTAAGCAGAAAAGCTGAGGGGTGGGGATGGATGAGGGAATGAGAGAGAGGGAAAGAGAGAGGGAAAGTTCTGAGTTCAAATCCTAGTACTGGCACAATTTTTTTTTTTTTTAAAGCCACCATCTCTGTAGAAGTAGAGCAATTCAATACCTTAAATATTCTCCCTGGGACCAAAGGGTCAGATTTTTTGACCCCCTTTGGTGTGGAGATATATGTTTTATTTAAGAAAACTGAAATTGAGATGACTTATCTCAGCCTTCTGTTGGATTTCTCTCCCACTATTATGATAATGTTATTTGCTGCCATTTGTGTGGTCCTGCTGCGTGGCACGATCCTATGGGTCTTGTAGCTCTGGCCCTTTCCATTTGGACTCCACAGGTCCCCCTGGGAGTCAGAGACTCTGAGGGTGCTGGGGCCCTTGTTTATGATGGTGATATCCTATTCTGGAATGTTCTGCAAGATCCCAGCCCTGTACTGCTCTTCCTAAAACCCCTCCCTGCCCTCTTGTCTTCTGATGGGTTCCTCTGACTCCAGCTCCAGTCTGACACAACCCTGTTTCCTTTGCACGAATGTGAATGAAGACACAGCACAACGGTGCTTTCCTGGCCTTTAGGACCCATGGGCTGCCTGGAAATAGGAACGGCAGGGACACTCCATGTTCTCTTGTAGCTTTAAAGATGCAACTTGTGCGGGTGTGGTTCTCGTCGTTTTCTCTAGTCTAAGCAGCCTTTATTTTGGGAGGAGAGCAGATGTAAAAGTGTGAACTATAGAAGTCGACACATTTTGGGGGAGAAGGATGAGGGCATCTTGAAATCTTCCTAACCCATCTCAGTGACGTCATTGTTTTCCTTGAGTGACTGGAAATTAGCGAGGGAAATCTCCTGGAACCTGCCCAGCTGCGGCCCTACATCTCCCTGTAACTGATAATTATTGTGGGTTCTTACTGCTAGGAACCAAAAGGGTCCCCTTCCCCAAACAAAGCTCCAATGTGAATTGCCCAAACTCAGCCAAATGCATAGGACCTTTGGAATAAAATTCCAGAGACAGAGTCAGATCTCATGTAGAGGGTGGCTTTCTAGGTTGGGCAGGTGCAAAGAAGAGCTGGAGAGCTTGAAGCCTTCTGAGATCCCGGACGCAAAGCTCTCACCAATCACCCTTTGATTTGTGTTCTCGTTTGCAAAAGGCACCTAGGGTTTTGCGAGTCCAGGGAGCTTTCTTGTGACTCTGGTCTCCTGTGGCCTACTCTGTTTCTTTTTCTTTTCTCAGAGCGGTGGTCTCTATTTTGTATCTTCTCATCGGATACAATACATCCCACATTAGATTTCAAGAAATCGTGTTCATGTTTTGTATGTTGCCCCTTGTTTTGCAGTTTTTGCAATTATGATTGTGTCCCCACTGAGAAGAAATGAGGACAAAGTATTTCTTGTAGCAGGCACATTCTCGTGCGTCTTGCCCTGTTCCTTGGATACCCGTCGTTGACAAATAATTTGGCGACATTTCCTATGGTCACTGGTTGAATGGTGTGCTACATTTTGCTACTTGATGATTTCAGGGCTGCTTTCAAATGAACATCTCTGATATTTTAAAAACTAATTTGAGTGAAATGGGAATGTGAGGAAATCATGAGGCCACATGAACTGAACAGTTCACAAATCTGCACATAACACAACTTCGTCAGACTGTGATCCATCCATGATTCATATAAATCTGAATTTCAAGTATGAACACCAAAACTTTATCAGACTACGATTTATCCTTATTTCATATAAATCTGAATTCCAAGTACTATATCCCTGAGAAGATGGTAAGCTACCTCTTTGTGCATTGTCTGCAGGATTGTACTATGGTTTACCAACTTTGGAAAACAGTTGGTAGCCAAGCCCTGGTAGTGCATGCTTGTAATTCTCCCTACCCAGGAGGCTGAGATCTGAGGATCGTGGTTCCATGCCAGCTCAAGTAGGAGGGTCCACAAGACTTTATCTCCTGGTAATCAGCAAAATGCCACACTGGAGGCATGGCTCAAGTGGTAGAGTGTCATTCGTGAAAAATGAAAAAGCCAAGCAAGAGTACAAGGTTTGAGTTTAAGTCCCAGTAATGGTAAAAATAAATAAATAAATAAGCAAAATGATAGAATAATTTGGCTTGTTTTTGAGGAGCTCAAACAGCAATTTGCTATATGGTAGAGCCGTTCCATTTCTGGATATCTATGCAGGAGAACGCACACAGGAGACTGCATAAAAATTTGTATATTTAGGTTCATCGTATCTTTATCCACAGTGGCCCCCAAAATGGATAGAACTCAACTGTCAGCTGTTGAACAATAATACAATGTCCCTGTATAATGAATAACTCCTGAGCGTTACAAACAAATGAAATACTGGTACTTGTGATAATCTAGAGAAACCTAACACATGTTATACTAAGACAGGACATTTCCAGACAAGAAGACAGAAAAGTAGATGATGAAGACAGAAAAATCGACGACGATGAGCTGCCCAGGGCTGGAGGTGATAGCAGAGAGTGCTTATACCTGGACGGAATCAATCCCTTTGGGGTGATGGAAATGTTGGAAGAATTGGGGTGGTGAT